TCTGTACACTATGCAGCCACTTGGTTATGGCGTTCCATGTAGGCCTTCCCTGCCAGCATCTTGCACCCTGCAGTTATGTGTTGGATCGTCTCAGGTGCCTCTTTGGACAACCGACACCGTGGGTCTTGTCTGGTGTGGTATATCTGGGCCTCTATCGCTCTGGTGCAGCCATGATGAGTGCCTCTGTGCTGTCCTGTAGGCCAGCCCTTTCTAGCCATTGGTAGGACTTCTTGAGATGATTCAGATTCAGTTTATTTGCCATTTGCAGTAAAAAAACCACATTGGAATACATTAGCGAAAAGTCTCCAGTGTGCACAGACAAATACAGACATAAAACAACATTAAAAGACAAAAATAAAACAAATAAAACTGTGAAGTCACTGTGAAATTGTGAACTTGTTGAAAACAAGTGCAAATCATTAAAGTGCTCTGTTCACACTGATAAAAGCTTGTGGATAAAAACTGTTAGCGTAACGAGATGTCCTGCATCTCAGAGAGCGATATCTTCTGCCAGAGGGAAGAAGCTGGAACATGGTTTTCCCAGGGTGGCCAGAAGAGTCATTGACAATCCTCAGAGCTTTGTTTAAAAGTCTGGATTTATAAAGAGCCTCCAGAACAGGAAGCTCACAGCCCACGGTCCTCTTTGCAGAGCGGAGCACCTTGTTTAAAGCTCTCTTTTCTTTATCTGTGATGTTACCGAACCACACAGACACAGAACCAACAAGTAAACTCTCAATGGTGCAGCGATAAAAGTTAAGCAGGATCTTAGAGTTAGTGGTAAATTCTCTAAGTTTACGCAGAAAGTAGAGACGCTGACGAGCTTTCTTAACGACTCGGTCAGTGTTTTTAACCCATTTCAGGTTAGACAGAGTTAAACCCAGAAACTTGCACTCCTCTACGATCTGCACCTGGGAGTTGTCGATTACGACAGGCAAATGAGAACTATTGCGACTGAAGTCGTAGACCAGTTCACATGTTTTCGATGCGTTCAACTGGAGGTTGTTAGTTTGACTCCACTGAACCACGTTTTGTATCTCTGCTCTATAAGAGGATTCATCAGTGTCACTGATGAGACCGATGATGGTGGTGTCATCAGCATATTTGATGATCAAGTTTGAGTCAGAGGAGGACACACAATCGTGAGTGTACAAAGTAAAGAGCAAAGGACTCAAAATACATCCCTGAGGAGATCCAGTGCTCACAGAAACAACATCAGAAAAACAGTCATTGATTTTCACTCTCTGAGATCTGTCAGTTAAAAAGCTAAAAATCCATTTACACATGGCAACACTTCTGTTATGCTCCGGTGGTACATGCCGTGTAGGGGCTTGTTCTCCCATGATGGGCTCTCCTCCAGCACCTCCTCATCTCGCCACTGCCTGAGACATTCACTGTGTTCTTGCCATTGAGCCGGCTTCTTAGGACCTGCCTTACTCGCTGGAGGTATTTGGCAGTTGCCGCTTTCCTCGTCAGCTGTTCGAGGTTGCCATTTGCCTGTGGTATACCGAGATACTTGTAACTGTCCTCAACGTCTGCTATTGTTCCCTCTGGGAGTGAGATCCCTTCTGTGTGGACTACCTTGCCTCTCCGAGTCACCATCCTGCAACATTTCTCGAGTCCGAATGACATCCCGATGTCATGGCTGTAGATCCTGGTTGTTTGGATCAGAGAGTCGATGTCTCTCTCGCTCTTGGCGTACAGCTTGATGTCATCCATGTAGAGGAGGTGACTGATCTTTGCTCCGTTCCTGAGGCGGTATCCATAGCCAGTCTGGTCAATTACTTGGCTTAGAGGGTTGAGGCCTATGCAGAACAGTAGTGGGGACAGAGCATCTCCTTGGTAGATACCACATTTGATGGTCACTTGTGCGAGCGGCTTGCCATTTGCCTCATATATATATATTAGTGCTGTCCAAAATATCGCGTTATTAACGCGTTAACGCAAATCAATATTAACGGCGTCATTTTTAGTTATTGCGCAATTTTTTTTTTTTACTTTTTATTGCAGACAAACACATATACAGAAAAAAAATAGAAACAAAGAAAAGGACTAGTTCAGATACATTGTAGACAGAGATTACAAACAATATGTAGTTGGAGATACAGGGGGCCAAAGAAGAAACCCAGAAGGGCACATAGGAGGGGGGGGGGGGGGGGGGTGGGACATGAAGTGGGAGATGGGGGGGAGGGGTTAATAAAAAAGGCAATACAAGCAAACAGTATACAGTCATAGATATACCGAAGGTAAACAGAGAAATAGCATAGAGTATTTACATGAACAAATTTACAAAATATTTACAGATTGTTTATCATCATCATAATGACACCATGATGTTTCTATACAGTCTATGGTCTATACCCACACATACACACACACACCCACACCCATAAACACACACACTCCACACACACACACACATACACCCCACAGATAAGATAAGATATAAAGTCTGCCCGCCTGAGTTTCACCAAGCTAAGCGGAACCCAGCCAACATCAAAACCAAATCCGACACACACACAGACCCCCAAGCAGGCCCCCACCCCAAAAAGGGGGGGAGGGAGCCCACGCCCGGCCCATTCCCTCTATTTGTTCCTTTTTCCCAAGTGTTTTTCTTAACTAAACGTGTCATGCATTAAAATAAGCTTTCGCTTACCCTGACTTGTGTATTATCATTATATGCACATATGCACATATTATTCATGTTATAATTATATTGATCTACTTATTCATTCATTTTTTATTTTATTTTATTATTATTATTAATTTTATTTTATTATTTTAATTTTATTTTAATTAATTCAAGGGACATAAAGAATAGATACAAATGTGTGACTAATTTGCGATTAATCGCGAGTTAACTATGAAATTCATGCGATTAATCGCGATTAAATATTTTAATCGTTGGACAGCACTAATATATATATATATATATACAGTATATACACAGACACACACATGGGATACGTGGGAAATGGTCACTGAGCGTGTCTTTTCCAAGGACACACTGCAGCAAATACAACGATCTTAAATCTCTGAGACCAGAACTTTCTCCGTGATGCAGAAGGATCTGTCCCCAAACTGACAAATGTGACCTCTTAAGATTTTTGCTTCCACCTCCTGTTTTTAAGCGTTCTCTCTCTCTCCTCTCTCACCTGGATACTCTCTCTCTCCTCTCTCTCTCTCTCTATCTCTCCTGGATGCTCTCTCTCCTCTCTCACCTGGATACTCTCTCTCTCCTCTCTCTCTCTCTCCTGGATGCTCTCTCTCTCCTCTCTCTCTCTCTCCTGGATGCTCTCTCTCTCCTCTCTCTCCTGGATACTCTCTCTCTCTCTCCTGGATGCTCTCTCTCTCCTCTCTCTCTCTCCTGGATGCTCTCTCTCTCTCTCTCTCTCCTGGATGCTCTCTCTCTCCTCTCTCACCTGGATACTCTCTCTCTCCTCTCTCTCCTGGATGCTCTCTCTCTCCTCTCTCTCTCTCCTGGATGCTCTCTCTCTCCTCTCTCACCTGGATACTCTCTCTCTCCTCTCTCTCTCTCTCCTGGATGCTCTCTCTCTCCTCTCTCTCCTGGATACTCTCTCTCTCTCTCCTGGATGCTCTCTCTCTCCTCTCTCTCTCTCCTGGATGCTCTCTCTCTCTCTCTCTCTCCTGGATGCTCTCTCTCTCCTCTCTCACCTGGATACTCTCTCTCTCCTCTCTCTCCTGGATGCTCTCTCTCTCCTCTCTCTCTCTCCTGGATGCTCTCTCTCTCCTCTCTCACCTGGATACTCTCTCTCTCCTCTCTCTCTCTCTCCTGGATGCTCTCTCTCTCCTCTCTCTCTCCTCTCTCTCCTGGATACTCTCTCTCTCTCTCTCTCTCCTGGATACTCTCTCTCTCTCTCTCTCCTGGATGCTCTCTCTCTCTCTCTCCTGGATTCTCTATAAACACATATTTTCTCCTCGTGCTCAAATAAATAAATAGAGAAGAGTCCATCCCTTTCACTGAATCATTGTAGAAAAATGCTTTGAAATGCAAAATGTGAATATGTCCCACATCGCTTCAGTCTTGTCTCATTATGCGCTTCTACATCCCTCACTTTTCTCACCTTCAGGAGAAAACAATATTTGCTGAGCGCTGACATCCTCATACCTCTGCTTCGTACAGAGGAGGAGTCTGTCTGCATCAGAGACTATGTGTAACAGGACAGTGCTAACCTGCTAGCTCACCGAAGCCCAACAGGGAAGTGCTCATGGGGAAGTTTTGCATACGACTAAATCATTTAAAAGCACTGAGGTTATTTAGGCCTTGTCTGATTGTTTCCTTTATTCTTCAGGACTCGTGTGTGCCATACTAATAAACTTACCTACTTTGACGTCAGAACAAATTATCTACAGAATATGTGTCTTGTTGTGTTTCTATTTCCCTTTAGTATCTGGAGAGAGAGACCAGAGAGAGAGAGACCAGAGAGAGACCAGAGAGAGGCCAGAGAAAGAGAGACCAGAGAGAGGCCAGAGAGAGAGAGACCTGAGAGAGACCAGAGAGAGAGGGAGAGAGACCAGAAAGCAAGACCAGAGAGAGGGAGACAGAGAGAGACCTGAGAGAGACCAGAGAGAGAGGGAGAGAGACCAGAGAGCAAGACCAGAGAGAGAAGGAGAGAGACCAGAGAGAGAAGGAGAGAGACCAGAGAGAGAGGGAGAGAGATCAGAGAGAGAGGGAGAGAGAGAGGGAGAGAGACCAGAGAGAGACCAGAGAGAGGCCAGAGAGAGAGACCAGAGAGAGAGGGAGAGAGACCAGAGAGAGAGGGAGAGAGACCAGAGAGAGACCAGAGAGAGGCCAGAGAGAGACCAGAAAGAGAGACCAGAAAGAGAGACCAGAGAGAGACCAGAGAGAGACCAAAGAGAGACCCAGAGAGAGACCAAAGAAAGAGGGAGAGGAGAGCAAGACCAGAGCGAGACCAGAGAGAAGACCAGAGTGAGTCCCTAAAGTTGTTCCCTGCAGCTTTAACCAGAGACATGTGTTTCAGATCGTACCTGGACATGCTGAAGGTCATCATGTTCAGTTATCTCTTCTGGTTCGTCCTCACCATCATCTTCATCACTGGTACCACCCGCATCAGTGTGTTCTGCATGGGGTACCTGGTGGCCTGCTTCTACTTCCTGCTGTTCGGAGGAGAGCTGCTGCTGAAGCCCATCAAGAAGATCCTCCACTACTGGGACTTCCTCATCGCATACAACATCTTCGTCATCACCATGAAGAACATCCTGTCTGTGAGCACATGCACTGTACAGGCCTCTCTGGTGTCTCTCTGGTCTCTCTCTTGTCTCTCTCTGGTCTCTCTGGTCTCTCTCTCTGGTCTCTCTGGTCTCTCTCTCTGATCTCTCTCTGGTCTCTCTCTGGTCTCTCTCTGGTCTCTCTCTTGTCTCTCTCTGGTCTCTCTGGTCTCTCTCTCTGATCTCTCTCTGGTCTCTCTCTGGTCTCTCTCTGGTCTCTCTCTTGTCTCTCTCTGGTCTCTCTCTCTGGTCTCTCTGGTCTCTCTCTCTGATCTCTCTCTGGTCTCTCTCTGGTCTCTCTCTGGTCTCTCTCTGGTCTCTCTCTGGTCTCTCTCTGGTCTCTCTCTCTGGTCTCTCTCTGGTCTCTCTCTCCCTCTCTCTCTGGTCTCCGGTTTCTTTCCCTGGATTCTCTCTCTGCTCTCTTGTCTATCTCTGGTCTCTCTCAAGTCTCTCTCTGGTCTCTCCCACTGGTCTCTCTATAGTCTCTTTCTCTCTCTGTTCTATTGCTGGTCTCTCTCTCTCTCTGGTCTCTCACACTTTGGTTTTGCCCTCTGGTTTCTTTCTCTGCTCTCTCTCTGGCTGGTCTCCCTTTGGTCTCTGCCTCGTCTCTCTCTTTTGTCTCTCACTCTGGTCTCCCTCTGGTTTCCCTCTGGTCTCTCTCTGGTCTCTCTCTCTCTCTCTCTCTGCTCTCTCACACTTTGGTTTTGTCCTCTGGTTTCTTTCTCTGCTCTTTCTCTGTCTGGTCTCCCTCCCTCTTGTCTCTCTCTCTGGTCTCCCTCTGGCCTCTCTCTGGTCTCTCTCATTTGTCTCTCTCTCTGGTTTCCCTCTGGTCTCTCTCTCTCTGGTCTCTCTCTCTAAAATGTTCTCACCATATTTTCTTTCAAAAGCTTAACAACCGTTGTAACAACAACCTCTCTCTTAACAATGAGGGAGAGATGAGAGAGAGAGAGACCAGAGAGAGACCAGAGAGAGACCAGAGAGAGACCAGAGAGAGACCAGAGAGAGACCAGAGAGAGACCAGAGAGAGACCAGAGAGAGGCCAGACAGAGGCCAGACAGAGACCAGACAGAGACCAGCGAGAGAATCCAGAGAAAGAAACCGGAGACCAGAGAGAGACCAGAGAGAGACCAGACAGAGACCAGACAGAGACCAGAGAGAGACCAGAGAGAGACCAGAGAGAGACCAGAGAGAGACCAGAGAGAGACCAGAGAGAGACCAGAGAGAGACCAGACAGAGACCAGACAGAGACCAGACAGAGACCAGAGAGAGAATCCAGAGAAAGAAACCGGAGACCAGAGAGAGACCAGAGAGAGACCAGAGAGAGACCAGAGAGAGACCAGAGAGAGACCAGACAGAGACCAGAGAGAGACCAGAGAGAGACCAGCGAGAGAATCCAGAGAAAGAAACCAGAGACCAGAGAGAGACCAGAGAGAGACCAGAGAGAGACCAGAGAGAGACCAGAGAGAGACCAGGCAGAGACCAGGCAGAGACCAGAGAGAGACCAGAGATAGACCAGAGAGAGACCAGAGAGAGACCAGAGAGAGACCAGACAGAGACCAGACAGAGACCAGACAGAGACCAGACAGAGACCAGACAGAGACCAGAGAGAGACCAGAGAGAGACCAGAGAGAGACCAGAGAGAGACCAGACAGAGACCAGAGAGAGACCAGAGAGAGACCAGACAGAGACCAGACAGAGACCAGACAGAGACCAGACAGAGACCAGACAGAGACCAGACAGAGACCAGAGAGAGACCAGAGAGAGACCAGAGAGAGACCAGAGAGAGACCAGAGAGAGACCAGAGAGAGACCAGACAGAGACCAGAGATAGACCAGACAGAGACCAGACAGAGACCAGACAGAGACCAGAGAGAGACCAGAGAGAGACCAGAGAGAGACCAGACAGAGACCAGACAGAGACCAGAGAGAGACCAGAGAGAGACCAGAGAGAGACCAGACAGAGACCAGAGAGAGACCAGACCGAGACCAGAGAGAGACCAGAGAGAGACCAGAGAGAGACCAGAGAGAGACCAGAGAGAGACCAGAGAGAGAGCTCCTGGTGCAGAGGTGAAGAGAGTCTTGTGTTGCAGATCCTGGCCTGTGGATACATTAACTCTCTGGTGAAGCACCAGTGTTGGCTCATCCAGCTCTGTAGTTTGGCCTGTACCATCAAGGACTACAACATCGTCATCAACCAGGACCATCTGGGTAAGACAGTCTGCACACTCACCCATGACCATGTGATGTCACCATACACTATGTATATACGGACAATGCTAACCTGCTAGCTCAATGAAGCCCAGTAGAGATGTGCTCATGGCCGAAGTTTGGCTCTCTGTGATCCTGGTGTTTGTTTTGTGATATTGTTTATGTAAATCCAGATATGAGACCTAAAAACTGACCAATCAGAGGCCTTCATTCACAGGGGAAACTCCAATTCTTAGCAACCAAGTTAGCAACACCATAGTTTGCCTCTTCCTCTGTTGCGGCACAAAGCTAACGCCACCGCAACAAATCCAAAACATATTTATCGGTTTTGAAAATCTAAATCAAAAACTGTTATTCCTCTACAATCTTCATATTTTTTGTTTTTGGCACTAAATCTGGAAAAGCTTTCTGAAGAACGGGTGAAACTTTTTGACATGGCACTAAAATAGATCTGGATTTTCATAAAAACAACCTGGTAAAGGCAAAATTGTAAACCTTTTCTAATGGCACTTATCTGTTTTACAAATGAACTTTTCAAATGCCCATATAAGGAAAATGTCTCCAGCTAACTATGTTCAAATCAGCCTCTTCCGCTTTCAGGCAACACTATGGTAGTCTCTCTAGTCTCTCACTCTATCTCTATCTCTGCTCTCTCTCTTCTCTCACTCTAGTCTTTCTGTGGTTTCTCTCTGGTGTCTCTCTCTGCTCACTCTCTCACTCTCTGGTCTCTCTCACTCTCTCTCTCTGGTTTCATTCTAGTCTCTATTTTTGCTCTCTCTCTCTCTCTTGTCTCTTTCTCTGGTGTCTCTCTGGAAACTCTTTCTCTGGTCTCTCTCACTCTCTTTCTGTGGTTTCTCTCTGCTCTCTCCCTAATATCTCTCTAGTCACTCTCTCTCTCACTCTTTGGTCTCTCTCTTGTCTCTCTCTACTCTCTCCCTAATCTCTCTCTAGTCACTCTCTCTCTCTCTCTCTCACTCTTTGGTCTCTCTCTTGTCTCTCTCTACTCTCTCCCTAATCTCTCTCTGGTCTCATTCTGGTCTCTCTTTTTGCTCTCTCTCTAGTCTCTCTCTCTCCAGACTCATTCTGGTCTCTCTTTTTGATCTCTCTCTCTCTTGTCTCTCTCTCTTCTGTCTCTCTCTACTCCCATCACCCTGTGCCAATCCCCTCCTCCCCCCCGCTCTGTGGCATCGCTCTGTCTGTTGCTGGTCTGTTGCTGGTCTGTTGCTGGTCTGTTGCTGGTCTGTTGCTGGTCTGTGGGAGGCGCTACATAAATAAGTTGTCTCCCTTCCTGCTGCAGCGGCGGAGGAGCGGTGTGAGGTGCCCACGGGAGAGGCCGGCATCATCTGGGACAGCATCTGCTTCGCCTTCCTCCTGCTGCAGCGCAGGGTCTTCATGAGCTACTACTTCCTCCATGTGGTGGCCGACGTCAGGGCGTCTCAGATCCTCGCCTCCAGGTAACAGACAGCAACAGACAGCAACAGACAGCAACAGACAGTAACAGACAGTAACAGACAGCAACAGACAGTAAGAGACCGCAACAGACAGTAACAGACAGCAACAGACAGTAACAGACAGTAACAGACCATAACAGACTGTAACAGACCATAACAGACAGTAACAGACCGTAACAGACAGTAACAGACAGCAACAGACAGTAACAGACCATAACAGACAGTAACAGACAGTAACAGACAGCAACAGACAGTAACAGACAGCAACAGACAGCAACAGACAGTAAGACAGTAACAGACAGCAACAGACAGTAACAGACCGTAACAGACAGCAACAGACAGTAACAGACAGCAACAGACAGCAACAGACAGCAACAGACAGTAACAGACCGTAACAGACAGCAACAGACAGTAACAGACAGCAACAGACAGCAACAGACAGTAACAGACCGTAACAGACCGTAACAGACCGTAACAGACAGTAACAGACCGTAACAGACAGTAACAGACCGTAACAGACAGTAACAGACAGCAACAGACAGTAAGACAGCAACAGACAGCAACAGACAGCAACAGACAGTAACAGACAGCAACAGACAGCAACAGACAGTAAGACAGCAACAGACAGCAACAGACAGCAACAGACAGTAACAGACAGTAACAGACAGTAACAGACAGCAACAGACAGCAACAGACAGCAACAGACAGTAACAGACAGTAACAGACAGTAACAGACAGCAACAGACAGTAACAGACAGTAACAGACCGTAACAGACCGTAACAGACCGTAACAGACAGTAACAGACAACAGTAACAGTAACAGACGTAACAGACCGTAACAGACCGTAACAGACCGTAACAGACCGTAACAGACCAGTAACAGACAGTAACAGACCGTAACAGACCAGTAACAGACCGTAACAGACCATAACAGACAGTAACAGACCGTAACAGACCGTAACAGACCATAACAGACAGTAACAGACAGTAACAGACCGTAACAGACCGTAACAGACCGTAACAGACCGTAACAGACCATAACAGACAGTAACAGACCGTAACAGACCGTAACAGACCGTAACAGACCGTAACAGACCATAACAGACAGTAACAGACAGTAACAGACAGTAACAGACAGTAACAGACCGTAACAGACAGTAAAAGACCATAAGACAGTAACAGACAGTAACAGACCGTAACAGACAGTAACAGACAGTAACAGACCGTAACAGACCGTAACAGACCGTAACAGACCGTAACAGACAGTAACAGACAGTAACAGACCGTAACAGACAGTAACAGACAGTAACAGACCGTAACAGACAGTAACAGACAGTAACAGACCGTAACAGACCGTAACAGACCGTAACAGACAGTAACAGACAGTAACAGACCGTAACAGACCGTAACAGACAGTAACAGACCGTAACAGACCGTAACAGACCGTAACAGACCGTAACAGACCATAACAGACAGTAACAGACCGTAACAGACAGTAACAGACAGTAACAGACCGTAACAGACCATAACAGACGACCGTAACAGACCGTAACAGACAGTAACAGACAGTAACAGACCGTAACAGACAGTAACAGACCGTAACAGACAGTAACAGACAGTAACAGACCGTAACAGACCGTAACAGACCGTAACAGACCGTAACAGACAGTAACAGACCATAACAGACCGTAACAGACCATAACAGACAGTAACAGACCGTAACAGACCATAACAGACAGTAACAGACAGTAACAGACAGTAACAGACAGTAACAGACCGTAACAGACCGTAACAGACCGTAACAGACCGTAACAGACCGTAACAGACGTAACAGACCGTAACAGACCATAACAGACCGTAACAGACCGTAACAGACCGTAACAGACCGTAACAGACCGTAACAGACCGTAACAGACCATAACAGACCATAACAGACAGTAACAGACAGTAACAGACCGTAACAGACCGTAACAGACCGTAACAGACCGTAACAGACCGTAACAGACCGTAACAGACCGTAACAGACAGTAACAGACCGTAACAGACCGTAACAGACCGTAACAGACCATAACAGACAGTAACAGACAGTAACAGACAGTAACAGACCATAACAGACTGTAAAAGACCGTAACAGACCGTAACAGACCGTAACAGACCATAACAGACCGTAACAGACCGTAACAGACCGTAACAGACCGTAACAGACCGTAACAGACCGTAACAGACCATAACAGACCATAACAGACAGTAACAGACAGTAACAGACAGTAACAGACCGTAACAGACCGTAACAGACCGTAACAGACCGTAACAGACCGTAACAGACCGTAACAGACAGTAACAGACCGTAACAGACCGTAACAGACCGTAACAGACCATAACAGACAGTAACAGACAGTAACAGACCGTAACAGACAGTAACAGACCGTAACAGACCATAACAGACCGTAACAGACCGTAACAGACAGTAACAGACAGTAACAGACCGTAACAGACAGTAACAGACCGTAACAGACAGTAACAGACCGTAACAGACCGTAACAGACCGTAACAGACCGTAACAGACAGTAACAGACCATAACAGACCATAACAGACAGTAACAGACCATAACAGACCATAACAGACAGTAACAGACCGTAACAGACAGTAACAGACCGTAACAGACCGTAACAGACCGTAACAGACCGTAACAGACCGTAACAGACAGTAACAGACCGTAACAGACCGTAACAGACCGTAAGACAGTAACAGACCGTAACAGACAGTAACAGACCGTAACAGACCGTAACAGACCGTAACAGACCGTAACAGACCGTAACAGACAGTAACAGACAGTAACAGACAGTAACAGACAGTAACAGACCGTAACAGACCGTAACAGACCGTAACAGACCATAACAGACAGTAACAGACAGTAACAGACCGTAACAGACAGTAACAGACTGTAACAGACCGTAACAGACCGTAACAGACCGTAACAGACAGTAACAGACAGTAACAGACCGTAACAGACTGTAACAGACAGTAACAGACCGTAACAGACAGTAACAGACCGTAACAGACAGTAACAGACCGTAACAGACCGTAACAGACCGTAACAGACCGTAACAGACAGTAACAGACCATAACAGACCATAACAGACAGTAACAGACCATAACAGACCATAACAGACAGTAACAGACCGTAAAAGACAGTAACAGACCGTAACAGACCGTAACAGACCGTAACAGACCGTAACAGACAGTAACAGACCGTAACAGACCGTAACAGACCGTAAGACAGTAACAGACCGTAACAGACAGTAACAGACCGTAACAGACCGTAACAGACCGTAACAGACAGTAACAGACAGTAACAGACAGTAACAGACAGTAACAGACAGTAACAGACAGTAACAGACCGTAACAGACCGTAACAGACCGTAACAGACCATAACAGACAGTAACAGACAGTAACAGACCGTAACAGACAGTAACAGACTGTAACAGACCGTAACAGACCGTAACAGACCGTAACAGACCGTAACAGACAGTAACAGACCGTAACAGACAGTAACAGACCGTAACAGACCATAACAGACCGTAACAGACAGTAACAGACAGTAACAGACCGTAACAGACCGTAACAGACCGTAACAGACCGTAACAGACCGTAACAGACAGTAACAGACCGTAACAGACCGTAACAGACCGTAACAGACCGTAACAGACCGTAACAGACAGTAACAGACCGTAACAGACCATAACAGACCGTAACAGACAGTAACAGACAGTAACAGACAGTAACAGACCATAACAGACCGTAACAGACCGTAACAGACAGTAACAGACAGTAACAGACCGTAACAGACCGTAACAGACCGTAACAGACAGTAACAGACCGTAACAGACCGTAAGACAGTAACAGACCATAACAGACAGTAACAGACAGTAACAGACCGTAAGACAGTAACAGACAGTAACAGACAGTAACAGACCGTAACAGACCATAACAGACCATAACAGACAGTAACAGACCGTAACAGACCATAACAGACAGTAACAGACAGTAACAGACAGTAACAGACCGTAACAGACCATAACAGACCGTAACAGACCGTAACAGACCATAACAGACCGTAACAGACCATAACAGACCGTAACAGACCGTAACAGACAGTAACAGACCGTAACAGACTGTAACAGACCGTAACAGACCATAACAGACCGTAACAGACAGTAACAGACCGTAACAGACAGTAACAGACCGTAACAGACCGTAACAGACCATAACAGACAGTAACAGACAGTAACAGACCGTAACAGACAGTAACAGACCATAACAGACCGTAACAGACAGTAACAGACCGTAACAGACCGTAACAGACCATAATCAGAATCAGAATCAGAACAGAACATTTAGCCAGTAAGTAACGGAGGTCACAGACTGGAAATGCTTGGCTCAGTGCAACAGTCAAAAAGAGATAATAAAAATAAGAATAAAAAACACTTCTAAAGAATAAATTTAAATTTAAAATAGAGTTACAGTTACTAACAGACCGTAACAGACAGTAACAGACAGTAACAGACAGTAACAGACCGTAACAGACCGTAACAGACAGTAACAGACAGTAACAGACCGTAACAGACCGTAACAGACAGTAACAGACCGTAACAGACCGTAAGACAGTAACAGACCGTAACAGACAGTAACAGACCGTAACAGACCGTAACAGACAGTAACAGACCATAACAGACCGTAACAGACCGTAACAGACCGTAACAGACTGTAACAGACAGTAACAGACCGTAACAGACCGTAACAGACAGTAACAGACAGTAACAGACCGTAACAGACCGTAACAGACCGTAACAGACCATAACAGACCGTAACAGACCGTAACAGACAGTAACAGACCGTAACAGACCGTAACAGACAGTAACAGACCATAACAGACCGTAACAGACCGTAACAGACTGTAACAGACCGTAACAGACCGTAAGACAGTAACAGACCATAACA